TCTGTTCCTCCCTCACTGGCAGGTGCCCGGTTTCTACCAATACCAGACACCTTCCTTCCTTCCTTCCTTCCTTCCTTCCTTCCTTCCTTCCTCCCTCCCTCCCTCCCTCCCTTCCTTCCTTCCTCTTATTTATGTATGTGTGTTGGAGGGGTGCCTGTGGAGGCCAGAAGAGGGTGTCAGATCCCCCGGAGATGATTTACAAGTGGCTAGGAACTGTCTGATTTGAGTGCTGAAAACCACCAAAGCCAGGTCCTCCTCCAGTGCAGCAAGCATTCTTAATAGCTGAGCCACCTCTCTAGCTCATAAAGCATTGTCAAGGCACCCTCAACTCCAGGGTTGCAGGATCGGATATGCCGGATTGAACCCAGGACTTCATGCATTCTAGTTAACCACTCAACTACTGAGCTACACCCACCAGTGGCCCACCTTTCTTTATGGAGCTATCCATTAACCCACAGCCCAGACAGCTCTGACCTGTCAAGCAAGGCACCAGCTCAGGGCTGGCCCCAGTGGGACAGAATATGGCTCAGAGCTGGGGGAGGAGGAGGTCTGCAAGACCTAGGGAGTCAGACAGAGAAGCATGAGCTCTCTAGCTTGGTCTGCTTTGTGGACACAGCTGGTGGTTTCCTGGGGCAATCTGCTGGGGAGGAGAGGCCATCTTGATTGTGCTGGGGGACAGTGCTTGCAGCCCAAGGCACTCAACTACCTAGCAGCCCCTTCCCTCTACAGTGGCAGCAGCAGGAAAGATTTGGGGACTGGAGGAGGGAGGTCCCCTGACAAGCAAGAGAAAAACAGGGACACTCCCTCTCTGCCAGTCCTTCTAATTGGCCACATCCGGCTCAGCTCCATCCTCAGAGGGGCTGGGTGTGGCAGCTCTATTATTCCATCAGTGCAGGGCTGGAATGTGGAAACCAGATCCCCTTGGAGGGGAGGGGTGGGAGCAGGATGCACAGTCAGAGAAGTGAAAGGGGAGGGTGAACAGGAGACCTGTCTTGCAGGTCTGCTGTTCACCCTTCCCTAAGGCCAAGCAAGACCTCCACCCCCAAGATCCCTTTAAACTAGATAGCTGACTTCAATGCTGAAATGGGATGTCACAGTGAGAGCCTTTGAGGAGCCAGTACAGGCAGGCAATGTCCCCAACTGCTGATGTCATGGAGCTGGCTACCCTATGTCACAAGCTCCATGGAATAAAGCTGGGACGTGGCTCCTGAGACGGCAGGCTGCGGGGGCTAGCACCACAGTCAGCTGCCTGGTCGCTTTCCCAGGCCTCCTTGCTCACTCTGCTCCTGAACCTCCACCCACCCAGGTCATTTCAGCACCTGCTGAAACTAATGCTGCTGCCCTTTCCTGCCTGTGTCTAAGGAGACTCCCTCCCCCACAGGTGGAAGTGGAGGACTGGAGAGAGGCTCAAGCCCTCCAACCCCCCCAGAGGGTCTCTCTCATTCTCTTTACTGAGTCCTAGGGCTTGGGATACAACCATTTCTAAATGTCCAGGTACCCAGGGCTGTCCCTAGGGTGTGAGGGCTTACTTGGTGAGGGTAGGAGTGGCTTCATCCAGAGTGGAGGCACTATGGGCCCCATTTACCATCTGGCCCTGAGAGGGCATAACGAGGGAGAGGGTCACGCTGGTCTTGCTGGTGCTCTGGGCACTTGAGTAGGGCACAGAAACAGGGTACACACGGCCCCCTGCAGCTGTAGGAAGGAGACAGCAGGGGGCATGGAAATCAGTTGGGAAGGAAGCAGGGTAGTGGGAGCAGGGCTGCTTTGGGACCACAAGGGCTCTGTGAGGGTGGAGAGGCTCCCAGAGCCCCGGCATGACCCTGCACGTTTGGGGTGGCCCAGAAGGGATGTCCCTTGGCAGAGATTCTTCCAGAGCTGCAGTGGAACCTCCTTCCAGCAGGGAGACCTCCTGGGACTCAAGGCAGGAACAGAACCAAGTGCTGCATTGCTTCAATAAAGGGTCATTGCCTGGCTAGGATAAGTCTGCTTCTAGTTGAGGCTGACCCAATGAAAACATGGTTACAATAACAGGCCAGAGGAACTTCAGTAACCCTGGTGTTCGCGGGAGAGCAAACCCATCCGGAGGCTGGAGCTCCAGGGTTTGCTTGTTTAAAAAAGAAAAGGAAACATAGCCCTTGGAACAGGTCTAAGGCTCTGGTCAACGAACAGTCATTCTTCCCCAGCAACTTGATTCAAAGCTGGAAAGGAAAAAGTGAAAAAGCGTAATGCCTCTCTGACCCAAAGTGGTCAGGAATAGTGCCAGGACTTGGGGCTGACCATCTGTCTCCATGCCTGATCGTCAGGTCCCTTCAGGCTGGAGCATTCCTCCTTCCTGTTTAGGGTCACTGATGAGGACTAAGTGACCATGCTCCTGGCTGGGCACAGGCACAGCAGGCACACCACCATCAATGGTGGTCGCCATTATCGGTCTGTGCCTTTGTGATGCAGACCGTACGCTCTCCCATCAAGATTTTAGGAGGTGGCCAGGGGCAAGTGGTACTACCCTCATTTTATGGACAAAAAGAAAAACAATCCTCAGCTCAGGCACTCCTGTCTGTACGGCACACATACCTGGGGCTGGGGTTGATGAGGGCTGGCTCATTTCACCCAGTGGGTAGCCAAAATTCCTCACCAGCAGGGTCATGTCCTCATGCCGTGGGCAGAACTTGGCCCGCTCCCCACCACTGGCAAAGGTGTCTCCGTGGATGCGTTTCACTCGGTCTACCACAGCCTGGGCCACTGCGTCGAGGGAGGTCTGCTTGGCGAATTCAGTGCCAATCATTGCAGCTATCTCCTGGGAGAGGGGAGTGAGAACCTGATGAGGAATGAGGGTGGGCCAGGGAGGGGGGACCATAATTCTGGAGTCCTGTTCTGGAGACTTAGGGGTCATTACCAGCCTAGCAGGTGAAGGAAGTCCCTGTTAGTCAAGCCTGCAAACTGAGCTTTTCAAGCTATTCAAGCTAATCCTTCTGGAACAAAGTTGTGGGATCTTGTGATCCCTCTATTGGCTTCCACACCTCAGCAGGTTATTACAAGGATCGTAATGACACAATGGCTATAAGTGCACTGGGAAGGCCAAGAGCGGAATAAGGGTGTGACTATGCCGTCCTTCCTGGGAACAGACCTGAAGCCTGCAATATGCCAACACTTTGTTAGGAGCTGGGGATTCAGAATGAGGACAAATCCATGATTTAGCGAAACCTCCTACCTGGTACATTTTAGAAGCTAGTAGATGTTACTGGACACATCTATTGTAAAGACCAAAAAGGAAAGAAAATAAAAATCAAACTAAAAAAGACCAGAAGCATAGTCAGGTGTGGTGGCACAAATCTGTAATCCCAGTTCTTGGGAGGCAGAGGCAGGAGGACTGCTGGCTGTAAGTTCGAGGCCAGTCTGGTCTAGACAGCAAGACTGGCTCAACCAAAAATGAACATAACAAAAAGATCAAAGGCCTCCTGGAGGCAGACAGGGAAAGTTTAAGGGGATGTGGAGCTTGAATTGGGTTCCATGTCTGGCCAGCCACATCACCTGAGACAAGGCAATGGGCCCTATGTTACTTATTCTGTGTGGAAGTAAGCCAGTGGGCCTTCTATGCTACAAGCTGCTGGGATGAAGGATAAAATATAGTGAGTGGAAAACTCTGAACACAGGGACTTGAGATGGCTAGGCTTTAGCAAGAGAGGATGATGCAGAGTTGGGTGCTATAGTGCACATCTAATTCCAGAACTCAGGAGGCAGAGGGAAGATGATTACAAGTTAAAAGTCATCCTGGGCACATAGCTAATTTCAGGTCAGCCTAGGCTACAGAGCAAGACCCCATCTCAAAAAAGGAAGGAAGGAAGGAAGGAAGGAAGGCAGGGAGGGAAAGAGGGAGGGAGGGAAGGAGGGAGGGAGGAAGGAAGGAAGGAAGGAAAGGGTGCCATCTTACAAGAATCACACCCACAAAAGAGGAACATAGGAGTTTATCTCAGCCACCCAGCAACTCAAGGTCAGGTGCAAACAGCTGTCATTCAAAATGCTAGCCATATGCTGTGGTACATGCCTGTATTCTTAGCTATTTAGGAAGCTGAGGTGGAGAATTCCAAGCTTGAGGCCTTCCTGGGAGACATAGTAAGTTCAAGCCTAGCTTAGGCAAATGAGACTATCTCAAAAATAAAAATTTTTTAAAAAGGCTGTGGATCAAAGAAAAAAAAAAAAAAGGCTGTGGATATGTAACTCAGTGGTAGAGTATTTGCCCAGTAGGTTCAAGACCCTGAATTCAACCCACAGACACAGACACACAGACGCACAGACACACACACACACACGCGCACACCTGTGATACCTAGAAGTCATAGTTTTGTGGCTACTGTTTGTGTGTATGCTCTAAGGTATAGAGAAATAAGCTGCTCCTACTGGCTAAAGACTTGTTTTCCTCCTATCCCTGACCTCCCCACAGTCCCTAGAGGGGGATTCTATCACTCCCAGAGGGAAAAGAATGCCCCTGGAGCCCTGGTAGGAAGGAGGAGTGAGAGTGACTCCTGGCAGTGCTTTCCACAGCAGGCAGTCCTTTCTGGCCCCAGAGTAGTGCAGCCCCAGCCTACCCCTTTTGGCTTCAGACTGCACACCCCAGTGAGCACCGCTTTGGAGGGATGGCAGTTTTAAGGGCTTTTTGGTTCCAGTCTTTGAACCCTAAAATGACTGCTGGCAGCATCTGGGAATCAGAGCTCTGGTTGTCAGCACACTGCCCATGGCTGGCCTGCCATACTCCAAAGCAACCTGCTTAGCTCCACTCAACTCACCTGGTTGGCCTGCCCAGGCCCATGGGCTGCCTCCAGGGCCTTGTACAGCCCCTCGGACATCAGCACCAGGAAGCCTGTCACGCCATCCAGAGGCTGTGCACCGTGGATTTCTGGCTCTGCGATGATGGGTTTGGACTTGGCAGCACTATGGGAAAGAGTGGAGGGAGGGCTTTGCGTGGAAAGGTCCCCAGGTGGGCACTGCTTCTGCTGAGGGGAAGAATCTACACCCAGAATGTAAAACAAAACACAACTTGATATGAGGAAAGAGAAAAGGAGAGTGACCTGTCTTCTAAGGGCAGCTGTTAAAATAAAGTTCAGGGGGCATAACAGCAGGAGACTGGGGCCAGGATGGTAAAGGTCAGATGCCAGATTTGGGCCCTAGTCTGTGCTTCTTGCCCACAGAGCCTGGGCTATGGTGTGGCAGAAATAGACAGCAGGAGGGAAGGCTATTTACTCTTTCTTTCTTTGTTTTGAGACAGGGTCTCCCTGTAGCCCCAGCTGGCCCAGAAACTGCTATGTAGACCAGGCTGGATTTCATAGAGATCCACCTGCCTCTGCCTTCCCACCACACCCAGCTTATTTATTTTTTGAGACAAGGTCTCCTGTAGCCTAGAACCATGTAGCGAAGGATGAACCTTGAGCTCCTAATCCTCCTACCTCTACCTTCTGAGTACTGGGATTAGAAATCTGTGCCACCAAGCATATACCACTACACCCGGCTGGAAGGCTACCTTTCAAAAGCCCATTTGTCAGGTGGGTGAGGTGATGAATGCTTATAATCCCAGCACTTGGGAGGATGTGACAGAAGGATCATGAGTTCCAGGTTAACATAACAAAGGCACAACCAAGTCTCAGTCTGGGTTACCTATATAGATCCTGTCTCTAAATCAAAATAAATTAAAAATAAGTAAAAGCCTGTTCTCTTGCTATCACTCCCTCTGCCAAGACAGGTGTCCATGGCAACTAAGATCCTAATTACATCCTCTGCATGGAACCATGGCTGATGTGCATTAGCCATTAAGTGTTAAAAATCTAGTGTGAGCCAGTCGTGGTGGCGCACGCCTTTAATCCCAGCACTCGGGAGGCAGAGGCAGGCAGATCTCTGTGAGTTCAAGGCCAGCCTGGTCTACATAGTGAGTTCCAAGACAGCTGGAGCTACAGGGAGACCCTGTCTCAAAAAGACCAAAAAAAAAAAAAAAATCTAGTATGTATATGTGCACTTGAGGATGTCTGTGGCAAAATGCTCAGAAGAGCAAAGTCTGGAAACAAACTGTGAGTGTCATTTGCTTGGGGCTGCACGGGTGGGTGCCAACACTGCCAGACACTGGAATCATAGGAGCCACTGCAAGGCAGGATCACAGCTCAAGAGCAGGTGTGCAGGCTTGGAGGGCAGACATCTCTTATGAACACAGAGGGCATGTGAACTGAGCTGTTCTCATTAAGGACACAGTCACTGTGGCAATCAGATCTTAATAAAGTGCTTCAGAAAGAAAAGAGGGCAGAACATAAGGAGGGTCTGTGGGTGCTACAGAGGGCTACTAGCACCTCAGCTCCTGTGACACACACAAACATACCGGGCATGTATGTGTGCAAAGCTATCTGGGGGCAGGCTATTCAAGAGGGGCAGTCTCTGGGGGTGGGACTGTGGCTTTGGATGAAGACTGAACTTTCACTGCACACACCCTGCTTTAACACAGACTGTTTTCAGTCTGCGTTCTTAACTGCTATGCTATTAACACTGCAGAACCCCCACAATTTAGAGACAAAGCTTTCAGATTTGGCTGCCCAAATCCTGGGGATTAACTTAGGCAGGAAGCCTGGCTCCTGCTGACAGGGTCTCTGATTAAGACTTTTGCAGCCCTGACTGTGACATAAATCCTGTGGCTGGCACCACACAGGTATGGTTCCCCAGTCCATGTTTTCACCCAGGTTAGCAAGCAGTGAAGGATGCGTGCTCCAAACTGAGTCTTCCTGGGTCCATCACCAGCTCTATGTCTGGTCAGGCTCCTGGATGTTTCTATGCCTCCGGTTTCCCTCATGGACATGCTATAGGGAAATGATAGTATCCACCTTAAAAGGACTAAGTTAGGACTGGGCAAGAGGCCTTGTGTAATGAGTGAACAGACTAGGTACAGCAAAGGCTCACCAGTATAGTGATTGGTACAGTCACTTGGGTGACACCCAGAAGAGAAGTACCTCTGGAAGGAAATGGTTTATCTTCCAGCTCTACCTGGTCAGAATCTTGGGCAGTGCTTATTAACAGACTTTTGGTCTGTCATCCCTATCCATGCTGGTGCCTCATGCTGTCGCTGGCTTCTCCTGCCAGGCTCTGTGGCACTTCTGCTGCCCTGGACTTGGTCAGCTCCCCTCCTTTTAATATACATTTTAGGAGCTGGAGAGATAACATAGCAGTTAAGAACACTGACTGTTCTTGCAGAAGACCTGGGTTCGAATCCCAGCACCCATATGGCAGCTAACAACTGTCTGTAACTCCAGTTCCAGGGGATCCAACAGCCTCTTCTGTCCTCCGAGGGCACTGGGCATTGCACAACACAGGTGCACTTTCCTACATGCAGGCAACACACGCATACACATAAAATAAAAAATAGTTAATATTTAAAATATATTTTAATTATTTTTATGTATATGTGTGTTTTGCCTGCATGTATGTAAGTGTACCACATGTATGCAGTGCCTGAGGAGGCCTTAAAAGAGGGCATCAGATCCCTGAACTGGAATTATGAATGGATGGTTGTTAGCCTCTATGTGGGTGCTAGAAACTGAACCTGGGTCCTTTGCAAGAGTAGTTAGTGATCTTAACCACTAAGTCATCTTTCCAGCCCTAAGGCCCCTCCCTGACCCAGTGTGGGCCTAGCTCACAGGACTAGACTCAACCTGCTGGCCCAGACCCTGCTCCACACTTAGCTCTCTGGAAGGCAGAAAGTGTCTCCTTGGTCTCTGAATTTTTTTTTTTTGGGGGGGGGGGTCTTTTTGAGACAGGGTCTCCCTATAGCCCCTGCTGTCCCAGAACTCACTATGAACACCAGGCTGGCCTTGAACTCACAGAGATCTGCCTGCCTCTGCCTCCCAAGTGCTAGGATTAAAGGTGTGTGCCACAATGCCCGGGGGGTCCCTGAATTTTTAACAGTACCACTGCCACTGCAGCCTGGAACCCACTTTGTCCCAGGCCTTCTGGTCACACAAACCATGTGGGGCTTCTGGGAAGGCCACCTACCTGAGCAGGTCAATGTCAGTGTAGCCATATTTGACCTTGTAATCCCCAATGCGTCTGGTGCTCTCCTGCCCACAGATGATGCCCACCTGCTTGATCTTTCCTGCGTCCAAACCTACCAGAGGGAGAACAATGCGATGGTCCCATTTCTTTTTTTCTTTTTCTTTTTGAGACAGGGTCTCCTTGTAGCCCCAGCTCACCTAGAACTCACTACGTAGAATAGGCTGGCCTTGAATTTACAGAGATCTGCCTGCCTCTGCCTCCCAAGTGCTGGGATTAAAGGCATATGCCACCAATCCTGGCTAATGGTTCCATTTCTTGTTCATGAAGAGCAAAAGTGGATATATCCTCCTGATCTGCAGATATTTAATAAGTAGCCACAGGCTCCTGTCACCACAGACAGAGGCCCAGTTACCATGCTTCTCTGCCATGATGGCCAGTATCCTCTTAAAGCATAAGCCAACTAACTCCTTTAAGCTGTTTTGGTTAGGTATCTGGTTAGAGTGGTGAGAAAAGTAACTATAATCCAGGCCTTTCCCTCTAAGCACTACAGTACCATCCAGCACAGTCACATCTGCCCCAGCACAGAGCTGACAGAGCCACAAGCTGCCTCCTGCCTCCATGTCTGCAGAGATCATGGGAGAGACAACGCTTTACTGGAATTGCAACTGCTCCTGTCTCAGCCTCTGTCAGGAACAGGGATATCTACTATGTGCCAGGTTCTCTGGGAAGGATTTCACACATATTAACTCTTCTAGTCCTCATAACTCTTTTGAGGACTACTGTCCTCATCATGCACAGAACAAATGAGTAAGTTCCCAAGTCACCAGCTAGCCAGCAGCAGAGCTCGGCTCCAGCCCTGGCCTAAGGGAGGGCACAGAGGGAGACCAGGGGCTGGAGATCCTGCTCCCGCTGGTCCCCTGACCCAGTCTCCCCCACGCACCTAGCTGTGAAAGGCGAAAGAGCTCATCCTCGTTCTCCGTGGTGTGGTCTACGTTCAGTTGGGTCACCTGTAGTCCATCCACTGTAGATTTGCACAAAAGTGCCCGGTTTGTACCTGTGGCATAATGTGAGCAGCTGAGTGAAGACTAAGCAGAGGGAGGAATGGGACCCACTGATGTGACAAAGAGGGAAGGCAGGCATCACACATCAAGAGGCTCAGACCACAGGGCTGAGTCACAAGACAGGGACAGCTGATACAGCTGGGAATCAGGCTGCATGTTTACAGTGTAATTATAGGATTATGAGTTTAATAAGAGACTTCTCCTTAAGGATCCATACTGAAGTCTTCACAGATTACCATGCCACAACATCTTGGGTTTGCTTTGAAATAATTTGGGGATAAGTGGAGACGGATGAAACAAGACTCGCTACCAGGCAGCTGTGTTGAGGCTGCACCCTGCACAGCCTTCTCAGGTTCCCCGACAACCCCTTTTGTTCCTTAAAACTAAATGTCTCCATCACCCATGTTGCTGCTGTTTTTGAGAATGCAGGGTGGGTCTTCATGCCAGGTAATCTCTTCCCAAAGATGAAGCCATTGAGGCCACTTGGAGATGGGATGTGATCCACCCAAGGGCAAAATGAGGACAAAAGCCAAGGACACCTGCCCTTGCCCTGTCTGTTCTCCTTCCAGCTGGGACTGACAGTGTAGTGAGGAGGGAACAGGCCCAATAGCCCTGGGAAGCTCTGGGTCTAACGTGTCTGTGTCCAGAAAGCCGATTACAGAGAACATACTGGTAGGAGGCTGACCTCCTCCTCTCCCTGCTGGCTTGGGGCAGGTAGCAGCTTACCAACGTTGGCAACATAAAGTTTGTTGTTGAGAAGGACTGCCACAACAGCCATGGCCCCTCCTGAAATCTCCCTCTCCAGGGCCTTGAGTCTTTCAAGGATCTTCTGATACTGGGGTGGCAACTGGTGCTGAGGGACACCCTGCAAGTCATCATCCAGGGGGTCAGAGCAGTGCAGGTGCTTGAGGACCATCTTACCAACCCTCTCCCACCCTTGAGAGCAAGGATGCAAGAGCTCAGAGCAGAGAGACAGATGGTCAGGCTGGAAGCCTGTGCAATACCCTGGGAAGGCCCTAACCCAAGGGCAGCCTGAAGGTGATCCTCGATGATCAGGCTTTAGACACAATCAGACCATGGGACCTTGACAGGCCTTTCTTCCCAGTCATCACTACCAACCAAGGTGAGCCTTGTAGGGAAGCTGCCCACAGACAGTCATGAGTCCCTTTAAGGACACATTCACTGCCACCCTGGCCTCCCCATCGGGTGCTGCCCTGTAACTCCTGCTGAGGGACCTGCTGTGCTCATGGCTGGCAAGCGACATAGCATATGACCAGCAGAGGCAAGCCTTGACTTCTCCAGTGTAGACAGGAGATTACCTCTGGCAGCTGGGACTGGAGGCTTGCTTTCTCAGCCAAGGCATCATCGATGGACTCCAGGAAGCTCCTCTCTACCACATCAAAGGCCTGAAGGGACACAGGGCAAGGCAAGGGCTGGCTCAAACACCACCATCACCTCCTGCTAAGATGTCCCTATGGAGAGCAACAGGTCTCATGTGACCGGGGAGTGACACACATCAGTTCTGCCTTGTATGTGAAGCTTCCTGTTCATTGTCTGACAAAGACCTTCAGCTGAGGGTGTGTGCGTGTGCATGTGCGTGTGTCTGTGTGTGTGTGTGTGTGTGTGTGTGTGTGTATGAGTTGGTGGTGGTGGTATGCCATTAGAGGGGTCTGCAGAGGGATCAGAGAGGCAGGGGCAAAAGCCCAGTCTTGTGCTCAGGCTGGTGGGGTGTGAACTCCAGCGCTGCCCATTTGGGTTCCTCATCTACAGAGCAGGACAACACCAGGTTCAGGGGAGGGAGTGGTCTGCAATAGTTCATAGGGACATGACCACCTCTTTTGAAGAGGCCTTGGTCAAGATCTGCTAGATGCTGGTGATACAGAAACCTTTCTCTGGGTACAAGCTCTGCTGTAAAGCTCTGGTCTAGGAATCCCAAGGCCACAGAAGAGGAACCGGCTGGGGCCCCTTTCTCAAAGACCAGGAAGCCTTCCTAGGAAGAAGGAAATCCCAGCATACCACCCTGGTTAGCAAGGGAGTGGGACACAGCAGATGTGGAGATGTGAGTTCCTTTCAGAACACCCAGGGACTCTGACAGCGCTGGAGGATAAGTATCTGACCCCAAGGAAAGAGATCACCGTCAAGGACCTTGTCTCTACCAGGCCTCAATTCTCCGTTTCCAGCGGTACCTCCTCCTGCGTCAACCCTGCTAGCCACAGAAAAACTGCTGTTCCCTGCCTGACCCTGGACTAGGGGACAAGGCAGTCCAGGTGGCTCCGTGCCGCGACTTACACCCAGAGCTGATCCATAGCAAGGGTGAAGCAGCAGGCAGAAGTCAGATCAACCCCAGCTGCATTTATAGTGGCAGGGCCTGAGTTCCAGGGAGTAGAGGACACGAGTCACCCAGCCCTTACCTGCAGTAGCACACGCCGCACATCAGCCTCTGTGTGTTCAGCAGTGAGCTGGCCCAGCAGGAGCTCTGCAGACAGCCTCTGGGCCACAAAGTTAGTCACCCGGTTGCCATCGTAGCCATTGAAGACCCCATACAAGAAACAGCTGTTCTCACTTCTGGTAGAGGGAGGGCAGGAAACATGAGACCAGAGGCCCAAAGGTGACAGGGAAGAGAGAAAGGACTTGGGAGGGACTAACGGCAGAAAGGTTTCAGGACTAACTCATCTGGGTCCCCCCACTGTGGCCATAATTTCACTGTGGCTATGACCTCTCAAGTTCTCCCTCTTATCCTACTCTATCCCCAACCCATTCGAGGTCCTTGGCTTAATTAGAGGTGGAAAGGACCATAGCAGTGGACACTTCCCACCAGTCCCATCTCACAGGCAAGCCTCATTCACAGCAGTGGCAAGACTGTGCCTTTTCTCACATATGAGCTAATTTTCCCTGTCAAAGACAGCAATGCCAGCACACACACCTGAACTTGATCCAGTTGTCCTCTGGAGGGTGGCTCTCGGTGCCCTTGCCATCAGCAGCATAGCTACGGTTGGAAGCTGAGCCAACTCCAGAGAGGTGACAGAGCGGCAGGTCATCCGTCCAGCTTGGCTGCTGCTCCTAGGGAATGACACCAGGAAACGTGAAGGGCCACCTTCTTCCCCACGCCCACTTCACCTACTTCAATAAGGACAGAGGGCCTAGAGCCCACAAGACAGTTTTCTGAAAAACAACGATGGTTTCCTGTTTTTAAGGTGCATCCATAAACTGGTTCCCTAGGAAACCCCAAAATTGCAGCATTCCCAAATGGAAGGCTCAGCAACGGTTTCCAGAGGGAGCTGCGTTACAGAACGGGAAACACTAATGAAACATGCACATGGCTAAGCCAAACCACTAAAGCGGCTCTGGCCTCACTGGTCCCCTCTAGTGTTCCTGCTGCATGGTGTGAAGGAATCCTTTGGGTGCCATTCCAACTACAGAATTCAGGCCCCACCTGTGGAATGCCTGACCTATGCCCAGTCTGGGCAATCAGTTATAAACAGCTCTCTATACAAACCTCAAGAAGATGGCTAGAACCAGTCTGTCATTCTCCCTGGTACTGGCGCCTCCATTTGTGTCCCTTCCTACCTCCCCCTGCCACATCCTCTCTGATACGGGCAGCTTGAGGCCCTGTGCACTGTTTTCACCCTCCACATGGAGTACCCTTCCTTCTTTGTCCTCTGGGACTCACTGGTTCAGGGGTCACTGCCTTATGTACTAGTGGTGCAACCTGGTTCCATCTCTCCTGCTTATAGCTGACTCTTATCCTATCCCACGGGATCTCAAACAAGGATGTACATCATCACTGCAGAGATTTAAATACATGCGCGTGCATACACACACACACACACACACACACACACACACACACCCAGGTCCACGACTTGGTTTAAACATGCCAAGTCTATCTTCTTCCTCTCCCTCTCTCAATGTAGGATTTATTCAAGAGTGTGGCTACAGAGGTAGTGGACAGCACAGTGGAGGCCCTCATCAGTGCAAGGAGGCTGGGGATCTATGTGACCCCACAACCACTGGGGGATCTCTGCCATGTCGTCACATTTACCTGCATTAAACTTGCTAAAGCCCCACTTCTTTTATGTGTAGATCTGGCAGTCAGGGAACTTGAACTTGTACAGGCTTCAATCACATGTTCCACAGTCTGTGGCTTGGTGACGATGGACATGAGGACTTGGCCAAGGTAAGCACTGAGGTCCCCACAAGCACCCTGCATACATATCTGAAGCCCAGACTGGGACAGCATAAGGGCAAAGACACGAACACTGGGAGGCTGTCTCCCAGGCACACAAGCAATAGACTGCTGATCCCACCAAGGAGGCTGCTATTCACAGCCACTGCACACGGACCATGCAAATGAAGGAACCTGGCCAGCGTTAACTGGCTATGGAGAAATAATCTATGTATTTCTTTCTTTTTTTTTGGTCTTTTTGAAATAGGGTTTCCCTGTAGCCCCAGCTGGCCTGGAGTTCACAATATAGACCAGGCTGGCCTTGAATTCACAAAGATCCACCTGCCTCTGCCTCCCAAGTGCTGGGACTACAGGTTTGCATCACCACACCCGGTTATAATCTATGTATTTCTAAGAATACCCAGAATAACCCTGATGTAACCCTGGCCTTTCTCTGAAGACCTGCCCTGAGCTCTAGGTCTCGTTCGCAAAACCTCCCTAGGCCACAGTGTGGAGCTACAGCAAGTTACAGTGACTGGGAGAACCAAAATTCAATTTCAAAGAGAATTGCTCAAATTTGCATTGGAAGCTTTGCTGAAATATTGAACAGTTACGATCACTATGTGCAACTTCTTACAAGTTACCAGCAAAGACCTTCAGAAAAGGCTCTAAAATCCACTTTGGCAGACTGGTAGGCTGGTGCACTCAGATATGTAAAGAACCTGTGGCTAGCCTCTGCAGCAAACTTCATCTTCTGTTTATTTACAGACCAACAGGGAGTCATTCAATGGACCCCCCCCATTTAAATTGCTTTTATACTACATTCATCTACTTCAGAGCTTTGATTCTATACTTAGTACCCTGGAGCAACTTCTGCAGAATGTGGGAGTCTGCTTTACTTTAGTTAACAGCAGTCCTGACTGTTAACACACGTAGTATCTGCGTAACAGTCAGAACACAAAACACCTGCCACTCCAAATCCTGACACCCCTCTGGAGTTGCCCCTCCCACTGTACCCTGCACAGGCCTGTTCTCCATCCTATGGTTTTATCTTTTTTTGGTCTTTTTGAGACAGGGTCTCCCTGTAGCCCCAGCTGTCCTGGAACTCACTATGTAGACCAGGCTGGCCTTGAACTCACAGAGATCCGCCTGCCTCTGCCTCCCGAGTGCTGGGATTAAAGGCGTGCGCCACCACACCCGGCTGTCTGTTTTTAATTCAGACACTCTAAAGAGGTGTGCTGGATCTCTTCATGGCTGTAATTTGCACTTCCCTAACAGCTAGTGGTGTTGAGCATCTTTTCATGTGCTTACTTGCCATCCCCAGATCCTCTCTGAAAAGTGTTTCCATCTTATGTTCCCTTTTAACTGGGTTGTTTACTGAGTTCTGAGAGTTTTTACATATTTTAGATTAAAGTCCTTTGTTGGCGACATGATTTGTAAATATTTCCCCAAGTCTGTATCTTGCCATTTCATTTACCTTGTTTATGGCAGAGCAAACTTAAAATTTTGATGATGATTTCAAGAGGCATGGTGGCACTTGGGAGGCAGAGACAGGCAGATCTCTGTGAATTCGAGGCCAGCCTGGTCTACACAGTGAGTTCCAGGCCAGCTGGGGCTACAAATTTTTTTTTATATTTCCATTTTATCAATTTCTTCTTCCTTTCAAGCCTTACACTTCTGGAATCATGTGGAATCATGTATAAGAACTTTCGAGGCCCAGGTCATGAAAACCTTGCATTCTCCTCTAAAAGTTTCATGTCTACATCTCCTTTTCTCATTTTGAAACAGGGTCTCCTTGTAGCCCTAGCTGTCCTGGAACTCACTATGTAGACCAGACTGGCCTCAAACTCACAAAGATCCACCTGCCTCCCAAGTGCTGGGATTAAAGGTGTGTGCACCACACTCAGTCGTCATGTCTACATCTGTGATCTATTTTGAACTAATTTCTGTAGATGGTGTCTCTAGATCGAATACGGATGCCCAGTTGTTCTAGCACTATCTGTTGAAGACTAGTCTTTCTCCACTGAGTTACCAGTGACCTGCAGGATGCATCTGTTTACAGACTCTCCTCTGTTCTGCTGAACCACCTATCTGTGTTAATACCACATTTTATTACTTCAGTTTTGTTGCTATGGTTTTACAGTGAGTCTTAAAATCAACTACTAGGACTTCTCAAACTATATTCTTTTCTAAAACCATTTTGGCCATTCAAGTTTTTTTGCCTTTCCATATCAATTTTAGGATTATTAGATCCGTATGTACAAAAACATCTTGTTGGGATCCAAACATTGTGGGACACACCTGTAATTCCAGCAACTGGGAGGGTGACACAGTGAGATCACAGGTTTGAGGCCAGGCTGGGCTATAAAATAATTTACTGATGGGGCTGGAGAAATGGCTCAGCCACTAAGAGCACCGACTGCTCTTGCAGAGGACCCGGGTTCGATTCCCAGCACCCACATGGTGGCTACAAACCATCCTTAACTCTAGTTCCAGGGGAATCCGAAGCCCTCTTCTGACCTCCGTGGCATTGTATGACATGGGTGTACTCACATACATGCAGGCAATACACTCATACACATAAACCAAAAGTAACAAAAAAAAATAATTTACTGGGACTTTAGAACTGCTTTAAATCTCTAGGCAAACCTGGGGAGAACGGACATTTTGACCACGGTTGATTCTTCTAATCCATGAATATGGGATATGTCTATGCACTCATTTATGGCTTTTATTTTGTTTTGAGACAGGGTCTCCTCTAATGCCTCTAAGAACAGAAACCATGATCAAAGCTATGGCTGGAAATGTGCCAGCTGAAATTCAGCTCTGATGGCCCCAGGCACTGGACACTTTCAGCTCAAGTAACAACGAAAGAAAAGCCACTTCCCAGCCACACAAAACACTAGCTCTACTTTTAAAAAATATTTTATATTTATTAGTTATTTTTTTATTTTATGTGTATTGCCTGCATGTAGGTAAGTGCACCTGCATCATGCAACGCCTGCAGAGGACAGAAGAGGCTGTCAGATCCCCTGGGACTGGAGTTATGGACAGTTGTTAGCTGTCATGTGGGTGCTAGGATTCGAACCTGGGTCTTCTGCAAGAACCAGTGTTCTTAACCGCTGAGCCATCTCTCCAGCTCCTTAATATTTTATTTTTATTTTATATGTATGACTGTATTGCCTGCATCTGTGTAAGTGCACCCATGTCATGCAGTGCCTGCAGAGGCCAGAAAAGGGTGTATCAGATTCCCTGGAACTGGAGTTATGGACAGTTATTAGCTGCCATGTGGGTGCTAGGAATTGAACCCAGGTCCTCTGCAAGAGCAGCCAGGGCTCTTAACTGCTGAGCCATCTCTCCAGCCCCTCTGGCTCTACTCTTGACCTCTAACATAAATGGGAGCTTACATTACTGTAGTCACATATACTATGTGATTACAGTATATTCAGTTAACACACACACTCATGCAACAAATATCTGCTGAGTATTTACAACAGGCTGACATTATTCTAAGTCCCAGAACAATCTAACAATGCAACCAAGGAAATTCCTGGTTTGAGGCCTACCTTCTAGGGGGAAAGAAACATAAAACATGCAATACAATAAATTGGCTGGGCAGTTTTGGCCAGAGATGCATACTATGGAGAAACATACCAGGGTAATGGGACAGAAAGCAATGGGGTGAACACTTATACAAGGTGGTTAAGATCAGGTGGCTGCTAAGCCAGATCTGAGTGGCTATGGGGTAGCAGTCCTAGACAGTGATTTCTAGGCAGAGAGAACAGTGCATACAAAGACCCTGAGGCAGAAAAAGAATGTGTCGGGCTGAAGGGAGTCTGAGAGGCTGGTATGGTGTCCACAGTGAGCACAAGGGGAAGCAGCTGGAGGCCTGTTC